GAAAGTCTTTTCCAACCCAAATCCATCTATGATTCTACAATTCCCCTGAAGTGCTCAGGCAGTTGGACTAACTGATCACTGTGGGCTTTCACCTCCTCCTCTTCATCCTCTTTCTCCTCCTCTTCTTCCTCCTCCGGCTCCTCCTTTTCTTCTTCCTCTGCTCTGTTTTCTGCTGGACACAGTGGTACCAGAACTTGGTGTTTGATATGAGTTTGGAGAGCATGAGGTAAACCCTGATTGCCTTACTCATGTTTTCTGGTTAGCATTTATTCCTACAAATACCTGTTCTTGGTGTAGTTCCTTAGTTCAAAGCTTGTCTTGGTGTTTTTACTTTGGCCCAGGTGTCAGCTCTGAGACTACTCCACCATCAACTCCTGTCAGCACAGCAAAAACTGACCCAACCACCACGAACCCAACCACCACCATGGCCCCAGCTCCCAGCACAGTGCCATCAACCACCCCTACAAGCAAGCCCAAACCACCCACCACTGTGTTGCCATCTACCCCTACAAGCAAATCAGGAGACTCATCAGCCACCTCTGCAGCCCCCACGACTCGAGGCACCACCCCCATGAGCATCCCAGCAAGTACATCGCCCACCCCTGAGACATCTAGAGCCACAGTCAGAGTGACCACCCCCACCAACAGCCCAGGGAACCCACCACCTGCCCCCACCACTTCAGCCCAGGGGCCTCAGCAGCTCAGCACTTCCAGCTCCACAGCCCCCACAGCCAAACCTGCTGCAACCTCCAGTGCTGCCCAGAAGCAGACGAGTCCTCTAGCCAGTTTGGGAAGCTCAGGGACCACCACTGCTGCCAAACCTGTCCTCACTCATGTGAGCAGCCCTTCAGCCACCTCAGGAGCTGTTGTTGCACCCTCTCCTAGCACCAAATCTCAGGGAAGTCAACCTACGGATCGTCTGACCAGTACTGCTGCGAGCACTGGGGTCCCACCGCCCCACCCTTCCACAGCTGTCACCAAACAGCCTCATTCTTCTGGCATTTCCCCAGCCCAGGGAACAGCCTCTTCCAGCAGACCTGGCAGCACTGGCACTTCTGTTACCCCTTCAGGTGGATCCCAGTCCCTCACCACCAGCAAAACATCTCTGGCTGTACCACCTGGCAGCACTGACAAGGTCTCAGAGGCAACCACCACATCAGCTCCTGGAGCAGGTACCAGAGGATGAGAGCCTTGATTTCTTGTGCTGGGAGGGCATTTTGTAGTCTTCTCCTGTTGTCATCAGTGGAGATGGAGTCAATGCAGTAAGTGCAATTCAAGGCATGAATCAACACTGGGTTTTGGATGGACCAGATGGTGCCTGAGGCACCATCAGCTGCAGTGACTCAATCTCCAGTGATGGCAAACGAGAGCCTGCAGTGCTGGGGTGGTGGGGCCTGCAGAGCTGGGGAGACAGCCTGGCAGCACCCAAAGGCTCTAGAAGATCCCTGGGACAGGTGACAGCTTAGTGAGGGCTGGCTGGGCATGCACAGAAAATGAGCTTTAAATGACTAAGGAGCTTTTGTGGCTAAACTCTGAGCCTACAACCTCTCAAGAGTCTAAGCACTTCAGTAGGACATGGGGTTGGCTGCTGACTCCTGTCTGAGCAGCAGTAGGAGTGGCCACGTGGTGTTCAGCATCTTGCTGAACATCATAAATGTATCTTCTCTAGACACCAGATGAAGTGAAGTGAGGGTCATCTCCATACTTCTTTCAAAGGGATTACCCACTTAGCCTCACAGAGCCATCACAGCCTTTGGGTTCAGCTCTCCACAACACCCTGATGAGTTTCAGCAGCAGCAAATAAAATCAGTTATTTAAAGTTATTTAAAAGTATAAGAAAAGAAGCAACCCAAAGCCTCTCCAAGCTTCACCACACTCACCTTCAAGGCAGGGCGAGAGCTGAAAGCTTCTTTTCAGCTGCTCACTGACAGAGCTGTGTCAACTGTATCCTCTGTACTGTATCAGTGTCTGTCTGCTTGTTTTTTGGTGGACGCTGGGGACCCAGACCAGAGCAGCCACAGTGTTGGACCTACATCAGCCAAGGCTCCGAGTGGGATGGGGGAGCAGCCTGTGAGCAGCAGTCCTGGCCACCAGCACCCCAACACTTCTGCCAGGAATGAGGTAACTGCACCTCCAGGGACATGGGCACCTCACAGTGCTGCTAATTCTCTTGCCATCCCACATAGGGGTGAAGCTTGCAGCCCTTCTCGCTGTGCTTGTGGCAGAGATGTGTCTTAGGAGAGCATGAGGCAGGTAAATCTTCCTACATCATAGAATCATGGACTGGTTTGGGTTGGAAAGGACCTTAAAAGGTCATTTTGTCCAGCCCCCTTCTCCTGTAGATTTCCAGTAAAGATGGAGGTGAAGGGGATGTGTCCAGGGAGGGGAATGAGCTGGGAAGGGGCTGGAGCAGCAGGAGAGGCTGAGGGAGCTGTGGGGGCTCAGCCTGGAGAAAAGGAGGCTCAGGGGAGCCTTGTGCTCTCCCCAACCCCTGCCAGGAGGTGCAGCCAGGTGGGGTCAGGCTCTGCTCCCAGGGAACAGGGACAGCACAAGGGAAACACCTCAGGCTGTGCCAGGGGAGGTTTAGATTGGATATCAGGAAAATAAATCCTTCCTGAAAGGGTGTCCAGGCACTGGAAGAGCTGGCCAGGGCAGGGTTGCACTCACCATCCCTGGGAGCCTTTGAAAGGCATGTGGCTGTGGCCCTTGAGGATATGGTTTAGGGTGAACATGGCAGTGCTCAGCTAATGGTTGGACTCGACGACCTTAGAGGTCTTTTCCAACCTTAATGATTCTGTGATTCCAGTCTGGGTGCTGAACAGGGAAGAAGTGAAATTTGGGAAGGAGGGAAGTGTTAGGGAGAGCAGAAGGTGCCTTGGGGTGGACTTGGACTTGGTGAGGGGGCAAAGACCACAGTTCAGCATGAGCAGTGCCTGAATGAGGTTGAAAGCAAACGGCGTGGGAGTACAGAGGGGTCTCAAAACAAACCAGGATAGCTGAAGTGCTGGGAAGGAGATCCTGAGCCTGTCAGTGTCCATGAAATCCATCAGAGGTTTGGCTGGGATGTCCCCTGGCTTGAAGCAGGCTGTGACCAACTGTCCTTCCAACCTGTGTCAGCCACTCAGAGTTGCTTTTCTTCTGCCTTTCCAGCTCATCTGTAGAGATCAGGATCAAAGTAACAAGCCTACCATGTACCTGAAAAAAGCCAAGAGCTGTGTAAGTACCCGTTTTATGGACTTCATGGAGGAATAGCAGCTGGGTTGTGGTTGGAGAGTAGCTTTGAACCTGAGCATGGGAGAAACTGCGCAGAAATGAGAGTAATGTCATCAAAATCAGATGCAACCAATGGAAAGTGCTGAATGCAAACCCACACTCAGCAGTATCACCTGGGGGGGATTGGTAGGAGGAGAAGAGATCCACATGGTCTTCTTTGAGCTGAAGCATCTGCCCACACAGGTCTGATAGGAAGACAAATGGGAAATGTAAAAGGGTAAATCTT